ATCCTCACCTAAGGATATTTTGTGTTTTTTGTTTGTTTGTTTTTCTGTTTGTTTGTTTTTGTTTTTTTAGAGAGAGAGTGGAAGGGAGTGGGAGAGACAGAAGGAGAGACGTATCTATGTGAGAGAGACACATCGATTGGCTGCCCTGATCGTGCCCCAGGTACGTGCCCTTGACCAGAATCCAACCTGAGACCCTTCAGTCTGCAGGCCGGTGCTCTAACCACTGTGAAAACCAGCCAGGGCTCACATGTACTTTTGATGAACCATTTGAAAGTAAGTTGCAGACATCATGACACTGTTCCTAAATTCTTTGTTAAGTGTCTCCTAAGAACAAGACATTCTCCTACATGGAGGTGTGGAGGCATGGAACAGGCTGGTCCTACACCCTCTTTGGCATTTTTTTAATCGAGGGGGGATATTTCCACTGTGGAAGCTCCCTGTGAGAAGCTGCTGCTTCGGGGGGGGGGGGGGGGGGGGGGCTCTTTTCCAGGATGCCTGCCACCTTAGCCCAGAGCTCCAGAGCTGGGAAGAAAAGTCCACGTAATTTTGGGCTGTAAAGACCAGCAGGAATTGTGGCTGAGTGATGGAGGTTTCCGGGGACCCAGAAGTTCCTCTTAAATGGCCGGTGCATGGACTTACTCGGGTTTGATCCCTCGGGCTCCAGCACTGGGACGGGGCCCTGGGGACCCAGGGACGTACAGGGAGGAACTGGACTGCCTGGCACCGGGGCAGGAACTGGGGCAGCTTTCTCCCAGATGAGTGTGCACACCCAGGTCATTATTCCTGTGCTCGGACCTCCCCCGTTCTAGGGCTGACTGGCAGCTATTTCTATGTCTCCATCAGACTGGCCCTCACTGTTTGCTCTGCCTGGGTGATTCCCTGAGACCCCACCCCATCCAGTTTACAGACCCACCCAAGCTCTCTGCAGTGGTTTTTGCATATGAATGGCCTGTCCTGGCTCAGGCTGCCCCAAACCCATTAATAAAAGATCCAAAAGCCAGCACTAGCACCTGCCTGCCTTGCTTCACAGCTGGGCCTTGCCTGGGCACTTCCTGCGGGGAGGCCCCAGGCAGTGGCTGACTTTGCCCCTCTCAGGAAGCCACAGAGCCAGTCCACCTGGTGGACAGCTTCAGACCATACCAGATTACAAGTCTACAATCCACAACACTCCCAAGAGGCAGACTCAGTGAGCACCAAAGCCCCATTGAAGTAAGTCCTGCTCCGTAGTGGTGTCTCCTGCACAGCAGCTCTCCCACCATAGTCGCTGTAGTCCAATTGACCTGGAGGTCAATTCCTCCCAGTGATGCCAATAACAATCAAGTCTGAACTATAAGACTGTGCACACAGCCCACACAGGGTCCACCTCGAGGGTCCACCTCAGGTAACTGGAGAGGCCGAGCCTCTGGGCCCCACAGGACACCTACTATTGAAGGCCACTCCACCAATTCGGGAGAACAGCAGCTCTACCTAAGACTAGTACATAGAAAAAACACAGGAAAGCAGCCAAAATGCAGAGACAAAGAAACGTCACAAATGAAAGAAATGGAATCAAACTACGGGATACAGAGTTTAAAACTATGGTTAAGAGGTTGCTCAAGGATCTTAATGAGAACTTTCAGGGACTTAGAGAGACTTACAGGTATCTTAGTGAGAATGTCAAAGACATAAAAAAGGACCAGTCAGAAATTAAGCATACACTAACTTAAATAAAGAAAAATTTACGGGGACTCAACAGTAGAGTAGAGCATTAACAAAAAAAGAAAGTAAACGAACCTGAGGTGCTGAAGAATCAAGAGACCTAGGCTAGTTCTTATGCTAATCAATAATAAAATAATATTTAATAAATAATTAAGATAAAATAACAATATTCAAAATCAATCTGCATGGATTTAAAGTCTTCTAGTATATGTCCAACTGATAATGAAACTAGGAAAGCCTTTTTGTATAGCAATGACATTTATTTTGTTGTTAAATAAATGCTTTGTCCATAACCTGCATAGCTATTGAACAAAACTATTTTCAAGTGTAAAAAGATATTTCCATATTTAAAAAGTTAACAATTTGTTGTATAAACATGAGAAAATAAGTCAAAGGGGAAAGTTCATAATCCCCTTCTCTGAAGTCAACAGCTGTCGAAGGACAGATGTCTCTTTCACACATTAGTCTATGAGGGCACGTACCCCCTTTCTTTGAAGCAAATATGGGATTTGTGTGTGTGTACTTATAACATATAAATGTTTTATATATATATATAAATGTCTCATATGTATACATATATATGAAAAATATATAGATAGCTTTGTTGTAGGCTTTTTTAACATACACATTTATGTACCCATTAATGACAGCATGACTTACAAGCCATGCTGTTATTAACTTTTTTGTATGACTACACTGGCTCACATTATTTTCTATTATATATATATATATATATATATATACACACACACACCTCTATAAGGCACATTCCTGTCTTTCTGTGCTTGTCCAATTGTTGTCTTCAGATGAATTCCTGGAAGTAGGACTTACAGGTCAATAATAAGAACCTATTTCTGAAATGTTTCCTTTTAAATATGTTTTTATTGATTTTATAGAGAGAGGAAGGAAAAGGACAGATAGAAACATCATTGATTGGCTGCTTGTTGCAGTCTCTCAAGCCCACAACCTGGGTATGTGCCTTGACCAGGAATCGAACCAGCAACCTCTGGGTTCATGGGTCAATGCTCAACCATTAAGCCATGCCAGCTGGGCTGAAACATTTCTTAAATGAAAGAGAGATAATAGAACAAACTTAGAGGGCATCCTAATTTGTTAGCATTCCGATGTAATGAAAAAAATTTTAAACCACATAAAACTCCAACTTTTTTAATGTCATCAAATAATTTAAATGGATGGTTTCCACAGTTCCTTCAAAACAAATAGGTGAAAATCATAGAAATCCAACATTGATTTGGAAGACAAGACATATCCTAATTTCAAAAACATTTTTATTGTTTCTTTAATCAAATGAATATTAAAAGTTAAGCAGAAAAAGATGGACCAGTATTTTTATTCTTCTGATTCAAAAAATACATGCTTATTATAGAAAATACATAGAATTAAGAAATTATTAAATTCCCAGAATCCAACTATACATAAGATAGCCTCACAGTTTACCATTCTCTATACGTGTATTTTTTTTATTTTAACAATTTGGTATTCTCCTTCTCTCTCCACTGCCCCCCTCCCCAGGGGGGGGGGGGGGGGGGGGAGACAAGGTAACACCCACTGGGCGGCAGCCTGTGGCATCCACCACACCATCTCTCACTGCACGCCTCCCTTAGTACTGAGCTGTACCTATTTCCTTGTTTACTCACCCGATTTCTGTATAAATGCACAACCCAACCCAAGGGTGCCAAAGCACCTCTGCCCCAGGACTGCCAGCACCCAGAGGGACAGGAGAGCTCGCAGAGCCGCTTCCAGCTTCACTTGAAAGTTTAACAAGTTCCCACACACGTTAATCTTCACAAGAGCCCTCTGAAGTAGGCAGAGCAGCTATCCTCCCTTAACAGGAAAGGAAACCCGGGTACAGAGCAGTTGAGTAAAGATCACAGATAATGAATGGCAAAGCTTATATTTGAAGCCATAAATGGACTCCAAAGTCAGCCCTTGACCTAGCAATTATTAACAAACTAAGTCTGGCAACTAGAACTGGTCAGAAGGATCTTCAATAAATCATCTAACCCAGTGGTCGGCAAACTCATTAGTCAACAGAGCCAAATATCAACAGTACAACGATTGAGATTTCTTTTGAGAGCCAATTTTTTAAACTTAAATTTCATCTAACACCACTTTTTCAAAATAGATCCTCTCTTCGTTTTCACATATAAGGAAAATAAGCCCAGAGAGATTAGGCGATTGCCCAAAGTCACCAGCTGTTTCCTAAGGAACAGGATCTGAAGGCACAGCCCCCAGGCCAGTGCTCCCACCAGCTGTCCCTAGAGAAATGCTCTTTAAGAAACTGTCTCATCCAGCGTGTTCTGTTAGCTAACTTCACCCAGGAGTTTAAATCCCCAAAGTGTAGAATGTTAGAGCCACGAGGGGCCTTAAAGGCCACTAAGGCCAAGTCACTCACTTGACAGATGAGGAAGGTGAAGCCCAAAACTCAGTTTCTGGTGGTCAAATCTACCTGCCTCCACACACCCTAGGACTTCCCTGAGCAATTATAAACACAACAAAATACGGACAAAGACTACTTCCTTCTTTAAAACTCAGTGTGTGATAGCCCACAAATCAGCAAAGCCAAAGTGAAACTAAACAGGATTTGAATCCAGAAGTTAGGATACTTCCTTGTGAACAGAGGTCCATCCCCCTGCCGCCCCGCCCCCTTAAAATGTACCTCCAAACACCCCCCTCCGCACCCCCCGCCTCCCCAGCCGAACAGGACCCACTGAAATCGGTTTCTTAGTTAAGGGTGCCCACAGCCTTTCGGAAGTCGCCCGTCCCATTAATCTGTGAAAATGTAGCAATATTGTTTTGCTGAAGGCTTCTGCTCCACACACGAGCTGGGAATCTTAACCACAACTGGCAGCACCTCAGCAGGCTGCCAGCCTTCCCTGACCCTCCATCCACAGCAGCTCCTGCTGCCGATGCAGCTCCGGGTTCTCCCGCCTGAGGAGGAGCGGGAAGCTCGCTGAGGACAGGGACCCTCTCCCGCTGCAAACACGCCGCGCTCGGCGGGCGGACACGGCCCTGCCCTCCAGGCTGGCGCGGGGTGGACAGGGCCAGGTGCGACCGCCGCAGCCACCGCGGCGACAGGCGCCGGGCCAGAGGGCACCGCGGGGGCGCCGCGTCCCGGGGCCGAGCGTGGGCTCCGGCCGAGGGGGCGGCGGCGGCCGTGCCCCGGGGCCAGGCCCGGGAGGCGGCGGGGCCTCGGGGCCGGCGGCGGGGCCGGCGCGCGCAGCCGGCGGACTGGCCCCGGCCCCGCGGGGGGAGCCGAGGACGCGGCGGGCGGCGGTTACCTGGCCAGCGTGGTCTTGCCGGAGCCCGGGAGGCCGCGCAGCAGGTAGAGGTGCTTCCGGAAGCCGGGGCGGCGCGGGGGCGGCCCGCGCGGGGGCGGCGGGGCCGGCGGCCGCGGCCGCGGCGGCTGGAGGCTCAGCCTCCCGAAGGATTCGAGGAACCCGTCCTCCATGGCCGGGGGCGGCGGCCCGGACCCGGCTTCCCGGCCCTGATCCCCGCCGCGGCCGAAGCTGTTGTTTTGGTGGCGCCCCGGCCATGTGATAGATGGAGGGCGGCGCTGGCGGCCGGCCCCTCCTCCTGCCGCCCAGCGCGCCGGCGGGGGTCCCACCTGGAGGCCGGCGGGGCGGGCTCCGGGCTCCCGCGCCCGCGCCCCGGAGAGCCGCCCGCGCTGGAAGCCAGCCCTCCCCACACACACGCACATACACACACACACACACACACACACGCACACACACACACACATGCACACACATACACACATGCATGCACACACCTGCACACACGCGCGCGCATACACACATACATACATGCATACACACATACACGGACACGGACACACATACACATATATACGCACACGTACATACATGCATGTGTGCGCATGCACACACATACACACGCACGCACATGCGCACAAACACATGCACACATACACGCGCGCGCGCGCGCACACACACACACACACACACACACACACACATCAGCCTGGGCTTGGAAAGTGAAATAATTTTAGTTGTTGAACGTGGACAGCGTTTGAATAGTAAAGGCTTTGTCTCCCCCAATTGTGAACACCAACAGCGTCCCAAAGGCTAACACCACCCTCCCAGACCTGTATTTTTTAGACCTTATCACCTTGCCAAAAGTATTCTTAGAAAGCTTTATCGTCTCTACATAACTTTAAGTATGTTCTTATAAAGAGAATACCCCAGGGAAGGAGCACGCTACTGAAACGATTTATAGAGAAGTGCCAAGTGTTACGCCCAGATTTCCTGATCCCCAAAGTCCACCAGGGAGCCAAGTCCGATGCAGTAGCAGAAAGCCTGTGTTCCATGCTAGCGTGGGCTCTGTCCCACTTACACCAATAGTGGCTGGTGGAAGAGATCCGGGGGTTTTATAGGGGTGGTGATGTCACTGCTTTGGCTGACCCCGATTGGTTGAGTGAGGGCTAGGGTCCAGTTACACAATGACATTCAAAATGGAGGATCAGGAGTTAGCCCCACCCTGCCCTTTCATTCCCCCCTTGTCTTATGTGCATGAGTGAAATCATTGACTCAGTCCACTTCCTTTAAGGGTATTCTCTGTTCTATTTAAAAATATTCTTACACTTACCAAGACCCTTAGTACCACAGTTCCCATCAATACTGTCCTTACTGAAGTCCAGTTCCCCTCCTGCAGGCATCAAGTCTCCTCCTGGCCTGCGTAGAGCCCAGGCTAGGGATCTCACGGTGAAGCTGCTGGTTGCCAGGATCCAGGCAGTTTTCTGGTGCAGGAGCTGGGAGTCATGTAGCCAGGTTTGGGTGCTGTCTACTTCAACAGCCGTGGGCGTGCTCAGGGTAACAGTGCAGTGTCCCTTTCAGGTCCTTGGGCAATGAACTTCCTTACCCACACTGAGTCTCCGGGCTGGAAGGGGTGTACAGGGTCTGCGGTGGGCACTGGCAGTGCATCTGGAACAAGCTTATGGGTGGCTCCCTGGGTAAACTGCAGAGTCTGTAAGGACTTGAGCAAGGGAATAGTTACATGATCTCAAAAGGGGGGAACCCATCCCAGTAGGGGGTACACCTAGTCCATAAGAATGCGAAGGGCAGAGGGTTGGTCCAATTTTCACCGGTTTTCAGGACAAATTTAATTAAACTTTTTAGAGTCTTGCTCATGCCTGTCCTAAGGCTTGAGCTATACTTTGAGATACCTTGGCTACCAAGGTGGGGCTGTTATCTGATCCTATGACTACTGGCAGCCCGAATCTAGGTATAATCTCCTAGAGTAATTTCTTGACTACTATAGAGGCAGTTTCTGTCCTAGTGGGGTATACTTCAACCTAATCTGAAGTGTCTACAAAAACCAGCATGTACTTGTACCTTAATGCTGGTGGCTTAATCTATGTGAAATCCACCTCCCACTGCTCTCTTAGGGAATTTCCTTGGGGCCCGAATTCCCAGGGGGCCCCTCTTACCTGGCTTAGCATTTACCTGTGCACAGATAGTACTTCTAGCAACTATGATTTTAATTACCTTATCTAAGCTTGGTAGTATCTGTCTCACAGAAGTTCAGAAGTCTTGGTAATGCTTAAGTGGGTAACCTGGTGTCACTGGGCAACTAACGTCTGACTTAGAGCCTCTGGGACCAACAGTCTATCATCTGGTAGGGTCCACCAAACCATCTGGTCCTTTGATGGCTTGCTTCTGTTCTGCCAATTCCTCCTCTTGTTCTGTGTAGGAGGGGGTCCACTGTAGGTCGGGGTCTGGTAGGGTTACTAAGACTTGTTGGTAACCCTCTTTCGCTGTAGATGGCACAGTGTCTCCATCAAAGGGCCTGGATTAAGGCCAAAAGTTCAGGAACTGTGCCCAAATGGTGTGGTCCAGGGTGACTACTGCTGCCCTGTATATCAGATCCCACCCTGAACGTAACTGCTCCCATCCGTGAACAGCGCCTCGTCTGGCAGTACTGCGTCTGTTACCTCTATGCAGACATGAATGGGTTCCTCTGGATCGTCATCTGGAAGCAGGCTGGCAGGTTGGTGGCCAGTGTCTTCTGGAATCAGACACAGGGCTGGTCTCTCTGGAGCACCTCGAAGGAGGGCGTTCACACCATGGGGTGTTGTCAGGCTAGCTCCTGGCCCAGAGTGCTTACGTATCTGCCTCCTTCACAGCAGTGCTGTGGTGGCCACTGCCCGGAGGCACACTGGCCACCTTGCTGCCACAGGGTCTAGTCTCTTAGGCAACAGGTCTCTTCCAGGGACCTAGAGTCTGAGTGAGAACCCCTTTGGCAATGTCTCTTACCTCACTCACATAGAGGTGGAAGGGCTCCACGTCGTCCGGCAAGGCTAGGGCAGCTGCTGAGATGAGAGCCTTCTTTAGCTCCTCAAAGATCCGTTGTTCCACTTTGATCCAGTTCAGCGGCTGCATTTCCTCAGTACATGTTCCTTCCGAGGTCCACAGTCCTTTTTGATGTCCAAGGAAAACAGGGAGTTTGTCCGGTGGCTCCCTGGACTGATGTCTTCTTAGAGGTTATGGGTCCCATCGGCTCTGTCAAGACTGCCCCAGTGTCCACCAGGAAACTAACATGTTTGCCTCTCACTTGTAAGGTTACTCTGGGGGCTTAATGGAAAGGGTCTTCGGTCCTGTCAGTCCTCTTCCTCTAAGTTAAAGACCCTTGGAATCTGAGTCTCACATTTTGCTTCTCTAGCTATCCTGCCAGGACATTCTCTCTTTCTGTGCCCCAGCTTCCTACAATAGGCATACTAATTCCTTCCTATTAGTTGCTGGCCTTTTCTCTCTTTCTCTTTTCTCCTTTCTTATCACATGTACAACCTTTACAAAACCCTTTATAATTTCAAATTAACTTTCCAACCTTCTTTCTATATCCTTCAAAAATATATAACCATGCCTCAAATCTTATAGAAAAGGCAAAGGGAGAAGGGAGCAGGTCCAGTACCCTGTTCTCAGGCTTCCAGCCACTTGAAATTTAAACTGCCACATTTTTCCTATAGATACGGATCTCAGATTCTGATAAGCCTGAAATAGGGGAATGGGAGAATTTCTAGCTGCACCTCTAAGTCCCCTAACAGAACATGGTGAAAAGTGTCCAAGCAGTCGCTGGAGGTTCTTGGGTCTCATTGGGGTGAAGGGGGTCACAAGGGAATTTCTCTCTTTGTCCCGGCCACCGCTACTCAAAACAACCCCTGGAGGGATGGACGCTGGGTGGGCGGAGGCAGGGAGCGTGGCTTGGGTTCCAGGTGGCAAAGGAGGTGCTCCAACCCAGGCATTTCCATCTGGCAGTCCACTCTGTTCCCACTGGGAAAGGCGCTTGCCTCCTGTTAGTGACCCCTACATTGCAATCAGACTCCCTGACCTTTCTGAAAAGCCACTCTGCTTGATGGTATTTCCATTAATATTACTGATCTTAAAACTATAACTTAAAAGTTCACACACACACACACACACACACACACACACAAGGACCAAGTAGCCCACAAAATATTTTCCTTTTCTTCTAAAGATTTTACAATGTACTGTAATCATTAATCACATCAAACTTAAATGGCCAATTGAGACAAACAGTAGTTAACTTTAGAATTTGGTCCCTGCTTTTAACCTTTTGGACCCCACTTGTTACAACTTCATACCTTAAACATTTTGTTAGGTGGGCCGATTCCTCTCTGACAGAGAGCAAGCACCCTGGGAAAAAGGTATCCCAGTGGCCACTCAGGGTTGTTTGCTATGTGTCAGAGCACTCAGCCTTAAACAAATTAAAGGTTTCTTTCTTTCTTTTTTAAATCAGACCAAACAAGTATTATATCTTGAATTCTTTTTTTTTAAATGTTTTTATTGTTCATATTATTACAAATGTTCCTTTCCCCCCCCCCCCCACCATTGCTCTCCTCCACCAGGTTCCCACCCCACCCTCTGCCCTTTCCCCATTCCCCATTGTCCTCATACATAGGTGCACAGTTTATGTTGTCTCTTCCCACGCCCCCCTCTCCCCTTTTCCCTGAGAATCGTCAGTTCACTCCCCTCCCATACCTCTGATACTATTATATTCAACAGTTAATATTGTTCATCAGATTTTTTTTGATTTTTTTGGTTTTTAGATTCACTTGTTGATAATTACGTATTTGTTGTTCATAATTTTTATCTTTATTTACTTTCTCTTCCAAAAGAACCCCCTTCAGCAATTCATATAATTCTGGTTTGGCAGTGATGAACTCCTTTAGCTTTTTTTATTGGTGAAGCTCTTTATCTGGCCTTCGATTCTGAGTGATAGCTTTGCAGTCTAGATTATCTTTGGCTGTAGGTTCTTACTATTCATCACCTTGAATATTTCTTGCCATTCCCTTCTGGCCTGCATGGTTTCTGTTGAGAAATCAGCTGACAATCGTATAGGTGCTCCTTTATAGGTAACTACCTTCTTTGCTCTTGCTTCTTTTAATATTCTCTCTTTGTCTTTTGCTCTTGGAATTTTAAGTATGATGTGTCTTGGTGTGGTCTTTTTTGGATTCCTTTTGTTTGGAGTTCTGTGTGCTTCCTGGACTTGTAAGTCTAATTCTTTCACCAGTTGGGGGAAATTTTCTGTCACTATTTCTTTCAGTATGTTTTCGATATCTTGCTCTCTCTCATC